GCAGGGCTGGCACTGCCCGCCGAGGCACCCGGAGGGTCCTGCCCAACGCCACGGTGTCACCACTGGAAAGGCTCTGGAATATCCGGACATCCAGGCAGGTATTAAGACATTTTCTTTTCTTTTCTCCCTCTTCTTTGCATGTCTGGTGATCTGGGGAGCACCAAGAGGATGCATTTGGGATCTTGCACCTGGGCAAGCCACTGTTCTGAGCTGTCTGCACAGGGAGAGGATAGATAATAATGTGCAGGCCCGTGGAAAGCTGCGTGGGTGACGGCCTGCCACTCTGGGCAGCACCTGAGGAGAAGCAGCGGGATGGGAGAGCCCAGGGGTCAGGAGAGCTCGGTGTCAGCCTTGCTCAGCTCTGGGAAGTCCCCGAAAGGGCTTTTGGGCAAGCAAGTGTGAATTGCTGTTCTCAAGAGTCTGCGTTTCAATTGTAAAACTCAAATGTTTGTCTCTCCCTGGTTCCAAATCATTTTTGGTGTTAGATGTGTCCAAAGTGAAGAATCTCACACCATCCATCATTTTCAACGTACTGTGGCTGTGTGTGTGGTTTGTTTAGGGGATGCAGCTCCAGGCAGTGACAGTGGCAGTCACACTGAGCATCCCCAGGACAAAGCAGTGAGTTCATAGACTGTGCTTTTACCTGTGGCTGCAGATTTCTGCTGCGGGAATATGAAGAGACCCTCCACATCAGGCACAAGGCAAACCATCATGTAGCCTGTGTGACACGCCAGTGAGAGGCAGCAGCACAGCCAGGCTCTGCAGCATCTTTGCTTGTTGCTGCTCAGGGTGGGTGCTGCCCTGCACCGAGGGGTGACTGAGCACGTAGAGGTGACTGAGCACCAAGGGGTGACTGAGCACCAAGGGGTGACTGCCACCTAGCACCTAGGGGTGACTGAGCACGTAGGGGTGACTGAGCACGTAGGGGTGACTGAGCACCAAGGGGTGACTGCCACCCAGCACCGAGGGACAGCTGGTGGGTCCCCCTGGAGGTAGGGGGCTTTGTGGGGAGCAGGAAGGGCCGAGAGCAGTGGAAGGAAGTAGGATGGTGGCCCTGGGGAGCTCCCCACCCCTCCATGATCAGTGGATACATCCTGCAATGCCAGGAGCCAGAGATACTTTTAACCTCAAGGCAAACCACCCTGTTTCATGAGTCACAAAGGCTCCTGCAGGCTGGAAAGGAGAGAAGGATGTCTGCTTCCCTGTTGGGGTGTTCAGTGTAGCACCAGCAGACCCCGCACTGCGCTGGTGTGGCGCTCCAGATGGGAGCAGGGATGGGCAGGCTGTCAGGGCTGCCCAGCACCAAGGCTGGGCCGTGGCTGGCAGGAGGAGCTCTTGCTGTGGGGCAGTGTGCAGGTGCCAGGTTCTCACTCCTTGTCTGGGGAGAGCCCACTGCTGTGTCTGGAGCTGCCCCTGCGTGTCCCGGGCTCAGCCTCGCTGCTTGTGCCCAGGGCTGCATGGGGAGCTGGTCCCAGTCCCCATCCTGCTCTGGGCTGTTCAGTGGGCTGCTTCTGGTCCCCAGCTCACACTCTATGCTGCTTTCTGATATTTTTATGAAACACCAAAACACATGAATGTTCTGTTGTGGCTTTGATGCTGCACTGAGGCCTGGAGAATGTGTAGGGATTAAACAGCTTTTTGGGTGGGAGAAGGAAAGGCCATCCAAAAGGGGCACCCAAACCTCTGTCTGCCAGACAGGATTGTCTGGTCTCTGTGGGTCAGTAACAAGGGGCAGCTCATGGGGAATCTCTCACACTGCTGCTCATTCATGGTCTGGGTTTCTATTGAGGTGGTGGCTTTTGCCAGCTGAACAGAGCACACCTGACAGATTCTTGTTGCTTTCTTCCAGAGTTCTCCTGTGGTTCCTCACCTGTGGCATTGGAAGAATTCCCTGCAGCTCCATCCTTGGGACTTCCAGGGGCCCGTGCAGGACTTGCTCCTTGTCCCTCAATGAGATAAATTGTGTGAAACACAGATCCAGGGCCTTGGGTCTGTGGCTCCTCTGTGCCTGGGGCTCCCAGCAGAGCACAGTTTAGCCATACTGGCATTGCCTGTTGTTATCATTTCCAGCAAGGGTTCCCATTCAGCCTGGAGTCACTCCCCCTCCTGCTCCCATTCTCCCAGTGCCAATGCTGTTTGAGCAGTAGGATACAGTCACAGAGAGCCCCCAGGAAATTGCAGCTTCCTTCCCACCTCTCCTGGGCAAGGCATGCACCATCAGGCAATGCCAGCCTTGGCTGGATGGATAATTCCAATTTTCCCCTCCTGTTGATGCCAAACACCGTGGCAGTGGCAGCTGCTGATGCCAATGCAATGACCCACATTCTGAGCTGGCAGCTCTTTCCCTCCCTTAGTCAGTCTTCCAGAAGATGGGTGATGTACAGACAGACTCCAAGCACTGTCTGAGCAGGTCCATGAGGGCACCAGTGTGCCAGCAAAAAGCATCAGCCATTGGCATCACGTCACCAGCCTTGGCACACCTGATGGATGTGCCCAGCAATAGGAACAGCTTGCCTGCATGGGCCTTTTTGCGTGATGGTAATAGTTAAAAACAGTTCTAAGCAAAGCGTGTAAAATCTTTAAATCTTTAACAAATCTCTCATAATTCCCAGCTAAGTAGATTAAAGCTGACTGCAGGCTTTAAAAGGAATCAAGCTGATCACTTGCAGGACAGAGAAAATAAATAAAATTAAAACAATCACAGTGTAAATGTGCAGCTCCCATGTTCCTGGTGCAGATAAAATTAGGGTGGCAGGATGGCAACCAGACCACTGGTCCTGGGTTTGATGGAGGCAAAGACTCAGTGAGATGAGGCAATACAGCACAATTCTGTATCAAAAGAATTACTCAAAAGCATCAAAGATGCTGCAGGCAGATTTTATCAGGATGCTGCACACCTGGGGAACAAAGTGGTGCTGCGTGGACAGCTTCTTCAGCAAAACAGGACAGGCTGCTGAATTCCCAGGCAGCAATCAGGATCCTTGTTAAGATTCATCCTGGTGTTAAGGTCCCGAGCATCAGACCAGTTTGTGGCTCTGGTACTCTCTTCACAGTGCTCACTGCAGCTGATGTGTGTTTGTAACGATAGCTCGGATTGGAAATTATATGGTTAAATATCTTGGCTCAGTGGAATTCAGCACTTGGACTTTCCTTCAGTGACTGAAGGAGCAGATTTTGTAGGATTCGGCTCCTATCTGGAGAGATCTGGTGTTTCTCTTCCTTAGAACCACGTGTTCCTTTTTTAAATGTGTATTTCGGTATAAGGTAGAGGGGCATGGCTAGCTGCAGCTGTCACGTAGAGTGAAAGCCGCCAGCCAAGGGCAGCAGTGCTGCTGCAGGGCATCCCTGCGGTGCCCGTCAGTGCCAGCTGCTGCTGCCCTGCCTGCTCGCACCGTGCCTGTGGCTCCTGCTGCCCAGGCACTCTGCCACCCCAGCCCAGTGGTGCCCACTCCCTTTGCCAGCCCAGGGATTCTGTTTGCTTGGCTTTGCCACTGTCACTGTGCTGTCCCCAGACCCAGCACTGGAACTTTCTGCTCCAGTACCTACAGATGTGTCTCAAAGGCAGCACCATGATGATCCCTGCTAAAAACTGCAGCAGGATCTCCTGCTGCTGCCATCATACACTTGCAGGAAGCACTGGTGTTTGATCCTGAAGATCTGGGACAGCAGCAGGTTCTGGGGGTTTGGTGGTGAGCCACAGAAACAGGTGATGCAGGACAAATCTTCTGAAGGCACAAAGGCTGCTCAAACTCACCAGCATATGCCCAGAGAAGGGGGATTTGGCTCTCCCCCACTTTGGCAGGTGGTGTTTGGCTCTTTGAGAGCAGCTGAGATTCGGGAGGGTTTTGCAAACTGGATGGGTGGTCATGGCCCTTGTCCCTCTCCCATCCCGTGAGATGAGCAGAACAGACCTGGCACAGGTGACTCAGCTGGGCCCTCACTGCTCAGAGAGCTTTAATGGCAGAAGGACGAAGCTGAAGTTTCCAAAGCTGCCCCAGAAAAGGGCTCCTAAAATGGTGACACTTCTGTTCTAATGAAGTTATGCTTCACCTGTTCAGGAAGGAGATGGCTCAAAACAAGGATGGGAGGGTGCCCTGCCTTAGCCCAACTCTGCCAAAATGACAAGAGGTTCATGTTGTTGCTCTCAGGTGACCATAGAATATTGTACTGCTGTACTGAGGTGACATCTGCTCCCCTTCCTCCCAAACAGGCAGCTTCCTCACCCTACAGACTGCCCCAGGGCACAATAAGTAGGTTAATGCTTGCTTTAGGGTTAGCCTCAGGGTGAGGGTTCCCTGCAGGAATAGCAGAGTGAGGTTTCCTCTGTGCCTGTGTGAGTTCATGTGTAGGGATGCCTCCAAGGCAAATGAATTCCTACTGCTCCCATTTCATCACTGTGTGCCTCTTCCTCCTTCCTTGGGATGGTGATGTTCCTTGGGATGACAGAGCTTTGATTTTAGTTCTGCCAGGCTCATATGATTTTTCCATTCGTCATTTGTTCTTCCATTTCCCTGCTTCCAGTCCTCGTTCTGGCCAGGCAGGAGTGGGAGCTCCAATGGTTGTGTTGGCCATGCCTCATGCTTCTCATGCCTGTTTCTTCTATGGCCAGACTGACTCCCAAAAAGGAAAACAAACCAAAACGTGTCAGTGGTTTTGAATTACAAATCTGGGTGTTCAAAATGCATGAAATGAGAAATTTCGGGCGCTTACTGCAACATGAATCCACCTGTGTTGGACATGAGTGGCATTTCCTATTTATGCTCAGACTCTTGAATACAAAGTTAAAACAGATGTCAAGGCAGCTGTGGACGGAGAAAACAGCATCAGGTTGGAGAAGAGGGAGGGTTTGGTGTGTTCATCATTACAGACTTTGGTTGTGGCAAATGAAAGTTAAAGAGGCGCCTAGAACCAGGTATTCAAACTTAATTTCCTATTTGTATAGTAATGTGTGAAGTTCCTGTGTTTACTTTGCATGTAAATATTGACTTATATTGTTACATAAAAGTAGTATTGACATTTTCCATGGAAAGATTCTCTTTTTGATTGCTTGCCATTTCTTGACCTACATTCTCAAACCAGAGAAGCTGCCATGGTGGTGTGATTCAGCCCAGCCTCAGGTGTGAGTGCCTGTCCTTTGGTGGCCTGCTGTGTGCACAGGTCCTGCAATGGAAATGGATCAGCATGTGGCCAACGGGGTGGGTGGTTGTCATGGCAGGGGTTCCCCTCTGTTGTGGAAGCCGAGGGTGTTGGTGGATGGCAAGCAGTGGCTCCAGAGCTGCCCAGAGGGGCCTGGAGTGGCCTTCAGAGCCAGGGGCAGCTGGAGGGTGGCTGTGTCACTGGAGGCAGCACACAGCCAGGATCCTTGCAGACAGCTCCTTGTCTTCCACAGCCTGAGCAGGAATTTCTTTGTGGAATTGCCAAGCACTCCCAGTTTTGCTTGAAACATGCAAAGTGCCATACAGTTGTTAAGTGCATCACAAATTAGAGCTAGACACCTTGAACCAAAATTAGAGGACAAGTCTTGCTCCTGAGTCTCTCTCTGTCTCTACTTGGCACTTGGAAAGGGCAGATGATGAAACTTTTTTCTTGCAAGGATGTTGAGATTAGGGATTGCCCTTGGAGAATGAGAGTGATGAATGTCATAGAAATGTCACAAGCAGATTAATAGCAAAGTTCTGTGAGAGGTTTGAAAAGTGGGCACTAAATGCAAGTTGGAGCTGGAGCCGCACACTGAGCTGTGGTAGGAAGCACTGACTGATGTCTTTTCTGTGCATGTATGAATTAATAAGTGCAGGATGGTGTGAGATGTGCATCAGAGCCCATAGCAAATGCTTATGCAGAATATCCCAGATTATTCTGGCAACCTTGATTCTGTCATATCCAATGCTCCAATAATGTCTTGTAATTGTAGTGTTTTTCTAAAATAGTTCCACTGTAAGCACTGTTCATAAATTAAGAAATTCCATCTGCACTTGTGCATGTTCCCATACTTAGTCCACCTAATGAGAACTGCGAGGTTCATCGTCCTTTGAAAGCTTTCTCAGTTGTAAATGTGATCGGAGACACCAGAGCATTCTCTTGGCTATCAATCTGCAGATAATAGAAGGTCCATTTCTTAAGTACACACAGAAAAGGAGAAGAAGAAATACTGGCTATGACATAAAATGAATTGTCTTCCTCCATGCCCTTGTAACCTAGGGCATGTAGTGCAGGCTGCCAGCCATCGCTTTGCAGATTTAGAAGTGCTGGAATCTCTCTGTCTGTAGCAGGCTGCCTGATGGATTGGTGAGTAATGGACTCAGGGAGTGCATTACCAGCACCCAGACTAATGGCTAGCACTTGCCCATGGCTTTGGCTATAGATCATCCTCTGTGCTATTCATAAGCTCTTGCCAGTCTGTCTCTGGCACTCGTGCTGCTGCTCTGACACCGTTTGCCTGAATCATTCTGCACCAGCTGCCATGCTTCCAGAAGGTGAAGGGGAGAAGAGAGTGAGTACCAGCTCTCACTCTTCGGAGGGCAGGTTAAAGGATAAGGTAATGGACATGATGCTCGCCCACGCAGTGTTACTAGCACAGTAGCCTGGAAAATGCATTTGGGTTTGCTGTTCACCATGAGGCACTGTCCCACCGCTGCCTGAGGCACCTGTGCCCGGGATCTTTTCTTTCCCAGGCAGAGCAATGTCATGGGTCATGGCAAGATAGGAAGGGGAGGGAGAGGTGGTTGGGGTGCTGGGTATGCCTCTGACATGGCTTCTGGAGTGTTGGAAGAAGTGTCTGGATGGTGCTGTCAAGATTTGGCTGTTTGTGAGCTAAATGAGGTAAAACCAGCCTTCAAAGGCAATGGCCATCTCCAGGGCTGAGCTCTGGGCTGGCTCTGATGGACAGGGCAGGTGTGTGCAGACAGGAATGAATTGCTTCAGTCCTGCCTGGCTCGGGAGCTTTTACTCTTCCCTTAGATTCCATGACATGAGTGGGACTCCAGGACTCTGGCTTCCTTGTGTGATTGGGATGAGCTGGATTCCTCTTTCCTCCTTTCACTTGGACCCTGCCCAGCCATAAGGAAAGAGCAATCCAGTCAGCTCTTGGTTTAAACTGGTGACCCACCCACAGCCAGGGGTGTGAACCTGTTCCAGTTCCTGAGGGCAGCCTGGGCCCGTTACTGATAGTGAAGGTGTAAGACTTGCTCTGCTATTCTGGGCTCTCTGGCTTTGTATTTTTTGCAAGTTATTTAAATAAATTTCTGCTGTTTTTCTTAACATATTCCTGATGAGTTTTTGGAAAGGGATGAAGTCTTCATCTAAGGAATTTCCTCTAGAGCAGTCGTAGTAAAGATTGCTGCTGAAACCAGACAGCAGAAACAAAATTGCAAAAACACTGCAGATGAGGGAGGGACGTTTTTCAGTTCCAGGAGTCCTGTGCAATAAGAAATAGCCTAGACTGAGCAACAAACACTTTACATTTTCTAGTACTACTTTAGCTCAGGTGTTAGGGATGTTGTGCCTTTTAAGGGGATAGTAGCAATGACACAGATGTTCTTGGGGTGCTAGATATTACGCTCTTTTAGAGAAAGACCTTTGTACCAGGGCTTTCATTTAGGCACTTCATAGGAAGTTGTGCACCTTTCCATTGCTGGAAGCAAGGAGAAAATTCTGGTTCTTTGCATTTTCCAGATTAATTCCACCAAAAGTCCCCATTAATTCACCAGAACTCTGGGGGTATTTTGGATACTGAAACAGGTGGCAGATTCAGATTGTTGCAAAGACGGGGGATGCTGCTGAACAGGAGAAGCTTAACCCAGAAATTCCCAGTGAGCATTATCCATCAGTTTATTTGCCTGCTATTTTGGGAAGTGTTTCTGGTAATAAAGCGTCATCAATCTATTATTTCTTTTGGCCAATCTCTCTCAGCCTGCCTATATAAAACTCATTGTGGCCTATATTTAACTGAGAATAACCTCTGCTTATTTCCTCTCTTCCACCATGAGTTTTATTCCTTTAACAAGCACAACAGCATGCTGCTCCGGCTTCAAAGAGAAAATTAATTCCGTCCGCAAAAGGGTCAAGTGCTGGAAAGTGCATAGCAATGCAGTTTGCATGGCAGGATCCAGGAGATATGATGCTAATAAGATTCCAAGATGAGAACAGCAGACTGGCTCTGGGGATTCAGATGAAGGGTTCTGTAAATTTTAAAAGAAATGGTCTCCAAAAACTAATGATGTCTGCTTTCCAATTCATTAATAATGTGAAGCAGGGAGATGGGAGTGAGAACAGGCCATGCTTTGAAATATCAGAATGTAACGAGGAAAAAACCAGCGAGAGCTCATCTCACCGGGGTCATAAAGCTCGGAGGAGCAGGCGGCTGCAGGGGAACACAGTGGCGGTGCCTGGAGGGAAGGAAATTGCACTCTGTGCTCTGCCATCTGTAATTTATGCACAGACTCTTAGCCAGCATTGATGTAAAATTTCTATGCAGAAAAAGATGCTGTTGTATTGACAGATCTTTTTCAAAAGTCTTGTTTAAGGTGACTTAGAACACAGGATATTTGATGAGTTTTAAAAACAGGTATGAATTGCCTTAGCATATTTACAAATGGCTTTTGGTAAACCTTCCCCTTCACCTTTCTGCAGTGCATGCACGAAACCTTAAGCTTGTTTGTAGTTAATATTGGAAGAAAACCCCTCAGGCAAAGCCTAATGAACTGAGAGCAATTCTGAGCTTCCCTCTGCAATATCGTGAGAGCCTTTGCCTTTCCAAGGGCTCTTGGACATATCGTGTGACCTTGTTACTTTGCATCACCACAGCCTTCCACTGCTGCTGCAGCATTGTTGGTGCTGCTGCTGTGCTGACACGATGCTGGAGTCTCTCCCTTGTGCCTGCCAGGGGCAGCCAATGGAAAAGGTCTGTGCCTGAGCACGTTCCTCAGTGGGAAGTTGTGAGGCAGCAGGATTTGGCTCTGACTTTATTCTGACAAAGCTAGCATGCTTGTACAGTGAGGTTAAAGCGTTCCTCCTACCTTTTACTTTAAGCTGTGCAATACTTTTCCATCTCACCTTGAAATTTCTCAGCAATGGTGATGAGGTTCTGCCAGAACCGCAGTGCCACTGGCAGCTCTTCTGGGAGGGGGCTCCACTGTCAGCCCAATGTGCCCATGGGGCTGCCACTGCAAGGGGACCCTGTGCCCTAACCCTGACTCTGACCCTAACCCTAACCCTAACCCTAACCCTGACTCTGACCCTGACCCTAACCCTAACCCTGACTCTGACCCTGACCCTAACCCTAACCCTGACTCTGACCCTGACCCTAACCCTAACCCTAACCCTAACCCAAACCCGAACCCTAACCCAGTAACATCACTGTTAGCCACCAGGACCTCAGAACACGCTGCTAAATTTTTAAGGTCTTTGCTTTCTCCTGTGTTTGTGCTCGTCTGTCTATTCAGTCCAGCATTCATCTTTTTTTTCTGGGTTTCCCCTCACTCTCGTGAGAGCATGTGCCTCTCAGTGATGAGTGCAGTCACTTTACAGCTTCTGCTTCCCCTTCCTCAGCATCCAGCATCCACGTGGCGCTCACACAGGCTGCACAGATCCATTGCTCCTGAGAACCAGAGCCTGTGCTTGTGGCTTCAGTGTGTGCCCAGTGACGGGTGTGTGGTGTTCACCCCCGATTCTCCAGGCAGAGCTGAGGGTGCTGCAGCGAGGGGAATGAGCGGGGCAGGAACATCTTTGCACCCTTCGCCCAGCAAATCAGCACACAGCCAATCAGGCAGGGAGGATTTATATTATCTGAGCTGCCTAGGAGCAGATTTCTTGTTCCATCAGAAAACCCTGACTTTTCCACTGATGCAATCCAGAGCTCTGCCAGAGGGACTGTCTTGGTGGTGTTCAGATGTTGCCACATGATCCCTTTTCCGCTGCTTTTCACACGCAGTCTGTGAAAACACACATTTTCCCAGCAGTGCCCTTTCCAGTGCTTCAAACCGAGCCAGGCTGTCTGATTATTCCTCATGACAGGTGTAAAAATGCTGGATCCACAGCAGAAAACCTCTTGTGATGAGGAAGCTCTCACTGCAAATAATAAGCCAGATTTCTGTGGAAACCTGCACGGTTCCAGACCCTGGACAGGCCACAGGCTCTACAGCAGGATTCTGTTCTCCTAACAGATACCCAGAGTCAGATTTTCTTTTACCTTAATATGAAAATCTATTATGCAGTCAGCATGATGCTTCTTGGTATGTTTATTTTTATACTCCATTTATTTGTTTTGTTCTCAACATCTCTTTCCATTGGGAGGGAATTTTCTATACCACCTGTGTATGAGGAGTGAATGGGACTTAACGACTATGGGAGCAAGACAGAGGTCAGTTGGGGTTTTTGTTATCTGAGTGGAAATGGGCACCATTTACAGCTGTGAATTAACACACCAACTGGTCTTTTTCATAGAATAATATTTACATTGCAAAGTTGATATTTTTAAGCCGTTGTCTTTAGGTTTCAGTATTACCAGGCTTTAGAGCCCAGTGAAGTATTTCATTTCTCATTACACTTAGTGCTTCACCTTCTGTCTCTGAAGACTCAGAAAAAAATATTTATTGTTTCAGTAATATTCCGAAAATATTTTATTATTTTCCTCTGAAGCCAAAGGACAAAAATAATTTAATTTCCCCAGCATGAAGATAATGCCATGAATCCCAGCTCTGTGGAGAGTGCTGCTCCACAGGACTGCTCAAGAGCCTCTTCCCTGTGTACAGACTCACTCGGGCTCCTAATTCCTCTGTGTCTCCCAGCTTTGATTCCTCCTTTCTCTTTGCCTTATTTTTCCTTTTGACTACTTTTCTCTGCTCTAAGGCCAAGGGTTTTCCCTATGGAAGGAGAAAGCGTAGCCCTTCCTGGCCTTTCCCCAGCATTTGGCCACCCAGCAGCAGCAGCCCCACAGCAAGGCTGGCAGTGCCAGCAGCCCCACAGCAAGGCTGGCA